TGTAGACAGTCAGTATTATTGAAGTTGAGCACGTTCGTTGTTACAGCGTTTGTTTTAGCGTGATTGTTGAAATTAAGTGTATCGTAAAGTTATATTCGGAAAGAATAAACCAGTTTTATTAAGTAAGGACTTGTGTCGCTAGTTTCATTGGAACGAATTTACGGGAAATCAGTTAACAAACGGAGACGTAACAGTATCAACTGGACAAGGTACAAGGTATAATGATGCCATGAACTTTGATAAAACGAAATAGTATCAACTGAACAAGATGTGATGATACAATGAACTTTGATAAAACTAAATAGTGTCAACTGAACTGGTATAATGATACAATGAACAAAAGTTGGTTCAGAAGAAATATACGAGTGTTCAACAGAGTGTTTGGTTTCGTTAAATAATCACAATTTGTACTGGTAAAATAACTGAAACTTTTCTTTCATAATAAAGTATGTATTTCAACCAGTAACATCTTATGTTAGTTGTTTCTAACATTAATGTTAGAAAGTTTTGTATTTTAATACTATGGTGAATACTTATATTTACGTGAGTAAGGTATGTCTCATTAAACAAAAAGTAATTGGGTGTGCAAGTGGGAATAAATTAAATCTCAAGTCGTGTTGTTTTATTTAAATATTACATTTAGTAAAATTTAAGAACACTAGCAGATTGGGATAATGTTAACATCATCGTAATTACAGTATAGTTGTTCTTGAGCAAGAGCTAGATTATTAAGTATATCTGGGGATTGTGTTTTTATCTCCCATCTTTATTTATAAATGACCAGAGATGTTTAGAAAAAATGTTGTTGTAAACACTCATCACATTATATGTGGTACAGCATGTTACTTAAAAAGCATATTATCATTACATGCATGCATGCTAAAAGTACCTTTTTGTGTTATCATCATATATTTCTGTTTCCATATATCATTAGATCTAACTTGGATTTGAGTTGCTTTCGTATTAGTAAAATATTTATATGTATATAAAGTTTGCCTAGTGTATGGGAATATTTTAAAGTGTTTTATTGACTTCATCAGACTTTCATCTACACATTACTGACAGCATTTTGAAAAGCAAAATTTGAAAAGAAATTACTACTAGTATTGTTAAAAATAATGTTTTGCTACATTTAATACAATAATTTGTAATGAATATTTTTAAGATTTGTCCTCCATTTAAAATATTTATGTAATGTTTTTTGTTACTATATGCAGATTTTAAAGGGGGTCAGTGCCCAGTTGTAGGTCAAGACCCATTTTTAAAGAAAAACTAAAATTAATTTGTGTACCAATTTTTAATCTGATTTGTAAGTAGTAAAAACTGTGGCATGCTAAACTTGGCAATAATAATCCTAATTTGAATGTATAATTTAGCCATATTAAATATTTTAAGCTTAATCTGTAAAAATAAGGGTATGTAGTTTGTACAAAATGCAGAAATCAGGTAACAACCTTTTAAAAATTTAAATTCTACAAGCACAAAAAGTTGTGAAACATTGTTGTCATTTTTTAATGTTCATCATAAGTGCTACTCTCATACTTACAGTTTGGGTCAAAGGCAGCTTGTATGCCTTGCACGAGCATTGTTGAGAAAATCTAAAGTTTTGGTGTTGGATGAAGCCACAGCTGCTGTAGACCTAGAGACTGACAAATTAATTCAGAACACAATTCAGACGGAGTTTAGTGAATGTACAGTGATCACTATAGCTCACAGACTTCACACCATTCTTGATTATAACAGGTAAAACTAAAATAACAGCAATTTAAGAATAGCAATACTTGTTATGAGTTAAGTGTAGTATAAGCAAAGGATCTCTATTAGGTAGTAATACATTCACTAGCTTCATTTTATGTGTATTATAGTAAACAGAGCTGAGCATTAGAGAAAAGTAACCAAAGCATTTGCTTTGGGATCCACACTTGAAGTTTAAGTCAGTAATTCACAATAAAATATCTTGAAATTGAAACATTGCAATCACCTAACAAAGTTATGCTGAAATATTTTATGTCATGGTAACTTGCAAAAGGTATTTTGAGAGGATATATTAAATACTTTTTGAAACTGTATAAGGATTATATTGATTCAGGAAGTCATTCTTTTTTTGGTGTTAAAAGACACACGTACATTATGGTTATGCAAGGGCTCATTTGTAAGTTGAAATTGAAGCATTCACACGTTTTGTACTGCTCGGTATATCTAAAGCATATAATAATGTTTAACATTAACAGCATATATTAGTTATTACTGTTGTAGAAAAAATGCCTAAAAGAAAATGAGACATTAGTCGAAGATATCAGAGTGGCAGCAAGAAAAAGAACTATTGAAATTGCTAGTGATGAAAGCATAAATTACAAGACTACTGGCAGACCTCAAACACCAGATAATTCATTTGATGATGACAAGATTTTTGACAAAAAATAGAGATACTGGTACTGCAGCTGATTATACAGTCTCAGAGAAAGAACATGAAGAGCCCCATAATGCAACTACTAGTAGGGAAGATCAACAACCTGATCATGAAATGAATGACAACATATGCATCCCAAAATTTTTAAAATCCTGCATTTTTGCCAGATCATATAAATGTCACTAACCATGATTTCTTAGTAAGGAAAGGACCACAGAAAATTTAAAAGGATGACTTTTCAAAGGATCACGCAGGATGAAAATTTTCAAAAACCTACTATAAACAAAAGCTAGCAAATGAAGAAATTATAAATCATCAATGGCTTGTGAACTCCAAATCAAAGGATTGTGTATTTTGTGCAGAGTGGATACATTAAGCCTACAACTAATCAGTGATGAAAGAGTTCACTGGTAAAATATTTTTGAACATCTCTTTATCATTGTACAGTTGATAGCAAAATTTTATCCAACCATGAAGGAACACTTGAGAAGAGTGAAGGATGAAGAAATTCATGACCACTACTTGGGAAAAGAGTATACAGAACAAGCTGATTTCTTTTATGGGCAATAAGATGCAAAGAACCATTGTACACAGAATAAAAGCTGTTAAATATTATTCTATGATATTAGACTGTACATCAGACTTCAGCCATAAGGAGCAGATATCACTGGCTTCTCGTTATGTCTCAGATGGTTCATCCAATGTTTCTCCTGGAACTTATGAGCATTTCATAAATTTTGTGGAGGCAAAGGAAAGTACAGGTAAAAATCTTCTCAATGCCTTACTGTAAGAGCTGAAAGAGGTGGAATTAGACTTTGTCAACATCTGTGGCTAAGGCTACAACAATGAAACTTGAATGAAAGAGCACAAATCACGTGTACAAGCACATCTTCTAGAAATATATCCAAGAGCATTTTGTGCTCTATGTGCATGTCACAGTTACAATCTGCTGCTTGATGACTTAAAACTTGTCCAGAAGCTATGACATTTTTTTGGCATAGTTCAGCATTTGTATGTCTTGTTTTTAGCATCAAAACAAAGATGAGCAATTTTTTGTGAGTTTGTGAAACATCTGTCTGTCAAACCCTTGTGTGAAGTGCGTGGGAGTGCTGTGTTGAGAGCATTAAAGCTATTAGGTACGAAACTGCAGAGTTCTACGATGCATTAATTAAAGTTGCAGAGACAACAAATGATCACCAAGCTCACTGTGAAGGAGAATCTCTGTGCAAAGATCTGAAGAATTTCAAATTCTTTGTTGCTGTCATTTTCTGGTATGACATTCTGTTCCATGTCAGCGAAGAACTACAAAGTGACTCTGTAGACTTAGCAAGTACAGTCCAAAATTTAGAGAGCAAGTGCAACTGGCTACAAGATACCAGGAAAGTGTACTGACTGATGCAAGAGAAATTGCAAATGATCTCTAGACAGATCCAGTTTTGAAAGGACACTAAAATACAAAGAAGGAAAATTTTTTGTTGATGATGAACTTGTCACATATGCATAGGAAGCTTTCTGTGTAAACTGCTTCAATAGGGTGTTTGACACAGCTTGTAATGGCAAATTTGAATAACTGAGAACACACTATAAAATATTTGGCTTTATGTATGAATTTCATCAGTTTCTGAAGTTAGAGGTGGGAAATGTGCAATTAAATAAAATAAAATGCTCCCAGATGACAAAAATTGTGATATTGATGGCTACATGCTCACTGAAAAAATTGAATCTTTGAAGTATATTCCTCCTGACATGGTTAAGAGACTTTCCCAATTTACGATTTCTCTTCATTTTCTTCTCACCATCCTGATTATTGTTGCATCAATTGAAAGAAGCTTTTCTAAGCTAAAGTTTATAAAGGTCAACTTGAGAACAACAATTCTGCAAGAGAGGCTAAACAACTCTATTGTCTATTTAAAATGACTTTTGCCAGAGACTTGGACTCTGGTGATCTCATTGAAGATTTTCCTTCCATAAAAGCTCATGAGGTTCACATTTAAGAAGGCATGCTGATGAGCACACAGTTTGGTCCCCATAACTAGTTGTTTAGTATATATCTCATTATTATTATTCTCCTAAATGTTATATCCTTATGTATCTAAAAAAAAATCAAGGATTCACAAATGAAATTCATTATATGATGGATATATTCATATGTCATTGAAAATTTTAAATCAGTATCAGTGTCCCAGTTTTTAATTTAAAAATTTTTCACTCAGCAACTATTGATGAGTTATTATTATAGCAATTGTAACTAAGCAGGTTTGTAGATAGATGTGTGCACTTGAACAGATTGTTTTACAAAAAAAACATACTGATCTGTACAGTTGAAAATATGACCTAATAGGCTTATGTGTAATTATTGTATTAAAACTGTGCATAAATCAAAAGTTTTATTTATGTTTTAAAAAAGATGTCTTAAATAGCTCAGATGGCATTTCAGAACATCTCTGACTCTAGAGCTTACAGGGGGCCTCTGGCAGCCCCAGACCCTTTGCCTTGGATATAAAGTTTTCACAGTTTAATTTTGCTTTGGGCTCCGCAATCTCTTAGGCTGGTTCTGGTAGTAAAGTTTGCATATTTTATGATACAAAACTGAAAGTTTTACCATTAATTAATACAAATTTAATAATTCTACAAAATGTAATTAAAAGTTATGTAAGAATTCTCAGTGTAGGTTTAAAGCATTTGTGATTCTTAACAATAATAAAATGTGTGCCAAGTACAGAAACAAAACTCGGAGTTCAACAAATAAATCTGATTTATCAATATGAATGGATTACTCTTTAATAGATATAAATAGTGAAAACTAAACAAGGTATAATGTTACAATGAACATAACTTGGTTAAGAAAAAACTTTATTGCTCAAGTAACAAGTTTTTCTTTTGTTTGTTAATCACAAAAATAAAAATAATGGTTCATTATCAATGTAAAATGCCTAAAAAGTGAGGGCATTTACATCAAATATTATTTGGCCTTTTCAAGTATTACACGAAGTAAAAGTTTTTTTTTCAGTTATTGTAGATGTCTTTGTCATACATATGTTTTACAGATTTTTTTTTCTTCTTGGTTAACTGCAATTCTTTTTTATTGTAACTAAAAGGGTTTGTTAATACTATATTAAGCTAAAGCAAATTCTCTAAGTAAGTGCTGAAAATTAGACTTTTCTTCTTTCAGAATAATAGTTATGGAAAAAGGAAGAATAGTAGAGACTGGGAATCCATCTACTTTGTTGTCTTCTCCAACCTCCATGTTTTACAGCATGGCAAAGGATGCTAACTTGCTTTGATGTGTCAAGCTTAGCAGTCAGAATAGCTTGTCAGTTCTTATTTGGCCATTGTTGTTGAATGCCATTTTATTTAGAAGTAAATTACACTGGTTATAATGGCACATATTATTCTAATAAAGGATTTATATATATATATATTTGAATATGAAGCTCTTTTATTGATTAAGCTTATATGTGAAACAGAGTATTTATGTCACCTCTGAATAGTTGAAATCAGTAATTGAAATACTATTAACCTTGTGTAAAAGAAAAATAGTGCCATTCATTTGCTATTTTTACAAATACCTATAATATTGCCAATAAAAGCAACTTTTGCAGTAAGAAAATTCTGATTTTAATTATTACAACACTTCTACCTATAGTGTTGGGTAATCACCAGAGAATGTTACATACTTGTGGTGGTGACGACAAGATTTGTAGGTGGTGTCAAATTAGCTTTTTAGTAAAATGAATTAGAAAAAATATTAATGTGGATAAAGGGAAGTTCCAGGATATTTTTTTAGCATTTGTTTTGATAACTTTATCAAAAGTGCTACAGCTGTTTTCTTTTCGTTGATGTATGGTTCTCTTTTGATGATTTCAACATTCTTTTCAGTGATGATATGTTTAGTTTCTTTGAGATGTTCAAAAATTTTCTAGGGTCTCTTAAGGTGTCCTCTAAGTCTGATGTTCTTTTCTCCTCCAGTTTCTCCACTATAAAAGTGTTTACACAAGTTGCATTTCATTTTGTGACTCCATTGGTTTTATTCTCAGTTGAGTAATTGTTAGTAATAAGATTCTTGATTTTAATACTTGTGTGGTTTTTATATGATTACGTTATTCATGTCTATGTTGTGTTTCTTCTTAAGTCGTTTCCATAATCCACAGGTTGTTGCTGATGTGTTTGATGTAAGGAGCTGTAATGGTGACAAAGTTGAAGTTGTTTTCATCTTTAAGATTTGTATTATTTTGTTTGTTTAACGTTTTTTGGATGTATCAACTGTTCTTTTAATAACTGCTTTCAGATAATAGTTTATTTTTAATGAAGATTTCATAGTCTTTGTAGCTCATCGAAATTGTTTGCAGAGCTTATATTAAATGCTCTTTGCATAATACACCAATACTAATATTTGAAATTAGTCTTTCTGATTGTTACTATTTTTTATTATTTCAATAATAAGTTAACCAAATGCTGATTATATTGATTGTCAAGAAAATAAACAACTAATCAAAATTATGATTAAATCAATTATTATGAAAATAGTCAACTAATTCAATTTTGTGTTTCCAATTATTTTAAGTTGTTTTTCTTACTTCAAGTTTGCTCAACTTTGTTTATTTGTAGAGGCTTGGGTTCGATTTCCATTGCCACCAAACTCATTTGCCCTGTATTTAAAACTGTTGACTAGCCTACTTTTTTGTCTTTGAATTGCAGACTAGATGGAAGGCAACTGTCTGTCAGCACCCAGTGTAAACTTTCTCCTCCATATTGAACTGCTAAATAAACTGCTGAGTTTAGAATTAATAAAACAGAATATATGAACAATAAGGAAGTATTTGGTTCTTCAAGGCTGTTCCTACTAACTCACCCTAATAAAACTAAAAGCAAATCCACCTTTTAATTTTTTTAGGAAATTAGTGATTCCACTCCTAACCTCCTCTATGTTACCAACTACCACTGCTGTCAACTTCAGAACTCATTCAATAAGCTAACTATTCTGTTTAAAAAATTAAACTTTCTTTAACTAGAAATTGAGAAATTAATCTGTGTTTTTTGGATAAAACGACGCACCAGTCACACAAGAAAAATTAAGTTATGGTTATATCTCGGTGAATAGCCAACCAAACTTAGAAACTACAAACAAGTTTATAAATTTCAGTTGTTTTTTTTAATAGCAAAAAGATTTCCACAATTTGATATTTATCAAAATCATTAATGAAATAAGTTAAATTGAAACCTTTATTCAAATTCAGGCAAATGTATGTTAAGTGTCATATTAGAATTAAGATTTTAAAGTATAGGTTGTATGAATATCTCTAGCTTAAAATCCTTATATGTTGGTATAATGTGAATGAAGGACAATACTATGTTAAAAAGTGTGAAATGATGTCACAACTAATAAATCAAATTATTTTAGATTGATTTCAGGCTGGGCACAAAATCCAGTCCTGGAAAATTGACATTATATTGTCATGAATGTTTTTTTCTTTTAATTCGGGACTCATTTTTAATTTATTTCTTATATTCCCTGTTTTTAAGTTCTTGACCCCCATAAATACATTGGGTATGATCTAACTTGATTCAGTACACTGTTCGTTCTTATGAATTGTCTCATCATCTTATGAGTTGTGTATTCTTGTGTGAATTGATGGATGAGGTTGATGCTTAATAATAGTTTAGTTGGCTGTATGTTGAATGGTGTCATCAAAATTTGTTAAATTCACTAAAAATGCCAGGCAATTTCCAATGATGGCAATGATGGGTGGTTAGAGGTTGTGTTTATGCAAAATTCTACATTACTTATACACAAGAAGCTTTTATAAGATGCAAGAAATAACATTAGTGTATTTCTTAAATGCAGATATACCAATATCTTCAAATTAAACTATTCCAAGCATCCTCTTCAAAAAAAAAAAATCAGAAACAGATCCAAATGCATATATTTAAAAGCCAAAGGATCGAAACCCATTGCCTAACATTCTCAACCCTTCATTTGTAAATAATGTAACAATAAATCCTACTATTCACTAGTCAGCAGTTCAAAATCAAGGTGGTGGCAGTTGCTAGATTATACCTCAATTAAGGTGAAGTATATTGTCTCACATACATTGGCACATTATTATGCCTCTAAATGTAATTTGAAAATGTATCCAAGATATATTTAAGTAGATAGAGATTTAATTATTTTGCCACTCAAAATTAGGTATAACTCAATTTACTGTTATGTTTTCAACAATGGTAGTATAGTGGATTGTTTCATCATTATCTTTAAAATGATCTTGCAGAGAATCAAACCCCAACCATGATAACGCTTCTATATACCAATACATCAACTCAAGCAGCCTGAAACTGTCAGAACAACAAACAGAGTCAAATGCCTTTTATGTTTCTCCATATTTTGTCTGGGTATTACCTAGTGTACCCAGTTTGTGAATCTGATGGTCCATGATTCACATCTTGTTGCCACAAAAACTTTTTCTGTATTTTGAGACCTTTGGGTGCACTAAAAGAATAACATGGTTAAATCCTTCTATTCAGTCACATAAGAGCTAGCCATACACACTATTTACCAGCTGCCTTCGCTCTAGTCTATCAGTTCAAATTAAAAATAGCTGGTTGCAGATAGCTTTGATGTGAGTATTATATAAACAAACAAATTCTGTAAATTTTTACTTTAGCAGTTTTTAGTTTGGATGTTGGCTATTATGTGACAGTTTTTGTAATTTCTTTTGCACAACACCTTTGAGCTATCAGTATAATTCCCAGTGTTGATGATGTAATTATCCACGTGACCCCAGGTCATAACATAGTAACAAATAGCACAATGACAATCTGTATAATTTGGAAAAACCTGCATATCAGACCAGTAATATCTGTCAAGCTATTACAAAAATTTGTGAAAACATCACTGAAACATAAGAAACTTACAATATCACAAGACTATGGAATGAAACATGTTTATCTTAAATAAAAAGCAAAATATAATGTAAAACCTATTAATTAGCATGTTGCTCTCAAATACAGTGAAGTTATATTACTTAGTATAAAACAAGTAAAAATACTGGCGAGTGCATTAAACGTTGGGCATTGCTTCCACAAAGCAACTAGAAACTCAGAAAAGTTACTTACCTACCTGCACCACTGAAAGCTATTACCTCATACACATGCCTTGAAAGACCTTGTACACCTACATGTGTCTACATGTATTGTACCAGCCTATGAAGTAATTGTCATAATACTGTAGACTTCCGCCAATAGAAATGTGACACACCCTCCATGCACAGTAATCCTTGTGAGCATCTGATCCTAGGCTCATTGTTTTCTCAGTACTGCCTGTGTTCAGACGTGTTTTTCCTGTGTCCTCTGAACTTTTAATCGTTTTCATTGACTGTCTTTATTTAATGATACATTACTTTTGTTCTTGTTGCACTTTCGTTCCATCCAATTGCCACAAGATTTATTCCTTGTGCTACTTACAACAACTAACGAGTAAAAAGTAAAAACATCCTGATGCTCAGACACTGCTTTCCAACTGAGTCAGTGATGACCAGAGCACTTTCTCTGTTCATGGAGCTAACGTTCAATAGTTAACCCTTTTGCTCACTTAGTAGAGCAATTGCTTGGCTTGTGACAGATCTTAGATTTCAATCTATGGCAAGGTACAATAAATATCGTGGGTATATTAAATTCCTATGATTTTATAGAGTTATGTTGAACCACATTATGGTAACTTGTTAACTGATAATGTTTTTCAGCTATCGTGTATCAGGTGGTTGGTTCTCTTCTGCCTCCTCAAGCTTAGGTCCCTTGTCATTCTGTTTCATTGCCTTCTTTCAACCTTCTGTCTCCTTAACGTTCCTAGGTATCTGACTTTCTAGCTCTTTCCTTTATGCATCATATTGGCTTTTGGATTTCATTACTTTGTGGGCCTTCTTCTATCCCAACTTCACATTTATCAATGCCTTACTCGTCCTCACGACTCCTTTTCTTTTATCTATGATCATGATCTACCTATCTTTCTTGAGTCTCTCTTCACCTTCTCTCTTAGACCTAAGTCTTGCCCAATTTCTCGCTGCACCATTCTTTAGGGGTGTTTCCAGTGTCTTGGAATCTCAGGCTCGCCAACAACCTTAATTCTCTAATTCCCATCTCACTAGACCACAGATAGCTCAGTTGGATATCTAACCTTGGAAGTTCTGTGGGGGAAACCCATTACTGTTCCTCATCCTATTATTTCTTCTTTCCACTCCTCCTACATAGTGGACTGTCATGACTCTCAGCAGAAACCCTTCCTTGGAGACGATTCTTGACTCTAGAACCATTGCTGATTCTCTCTTCCCCTTCCACATCCGTAGTTTCCCTTCACCAGAGACTTTTGGGTTGTGGAAGTTCGTTCTTAAAATCTGTCCCTTCTTATCATACTCCTCATCCTTTCTCTGATCCTTCGCATCTCTAACATCTTTCTGGGAGTTTCCTGATTTTTGTATGGGGTGGACTCAACCATTTCCCTTGTGTCTTCACGCCATGAAGATCTTTGTTTAAAAGGCTTTTTACTCTCCCATGCATCCACTTTAGTGGGCTCTGGGGATCTTTGGTGCATGTCTTCCAATCCCTTATCTGCCCTTGTTCCTCTCCAACCATATTTACTTTTTTGTGGTGGATTGACTGCTCCTATATGATATAGGTTATTCCACTCCGCCTCCTCCACCAGACTTTTATACTTACACCAATGCCTTCCTTTCTGGTTGGGGCAGTTCTCAGCAACTTCACTTTCTCTCTTGGGTCTGTTCTCTATAAGAACAATCTCTACTTATCAACAATCTGGATGTGTCTGCAAGTGTTTGGGCTTGCCAAAATCTTTTATCACAGTTGTTGGGTCATCTGATGATGATCCATTCTGACACTTCTACTGTTGTTTCTTCCATCACCATTATTGGAGGGATATCATGTAGACTTCAGCTAACACATTCATCTCCAATTACATGCATTACTGGGCAGTTTCATGTGCATTTTGTTTTTCTATTTCCAGTCGTCATCGTTCAGTTTACCCAGGGGCTTTAGTGTGATGAGTTTTGCTTGATGATTTTGATTTTCAGTCCATCATTGACCTTCTACATTCTCTGTGTCCCTGATACATTTTATGACATCATATGTGCTATTGTTTTCGTACACATCCATAAAACTACGAGTCAAAACACACCAAAAGAAGAAACAAAAACAGCATTTTACGTGAAACTAAACATCATTTTAATTATCTTTGGTGTCATCAGATCTCACAGAGTGGCCAATGTTGCTTCACAGGGAATGCTTACCCAAAATCCACATCAAGCTGGGGAGTACAGATACTGTTAAATCCATAAGCCCTTGTTCTTTACCCATTGTTGAGATGACAGGATATCTATATATCATGGCTGT